TCTGCAAAACGACGCCTCGTGTAACCCCCTATATGATATCCCGAAATCAACGGAACACGGTGGGTGACTGCTGGAACACGCGCTATGAATTTCGTGACAGACACACACTCAGACCGACACCACAAACATACTTAGCGAATTACCCTTCGATGTGCCATGCTAGTAGTCTGTTGTGCGTCGCAGTAATGCTGAAGCTTTTGCGTTCCAAGTGTCACCTTTTTGAAGTTCAGCGGTGAAAATAGTCTGGAAATGTTTCAGTTGTCGCTATTTGTAGATCTCAATCCCAGAAGGCACGTTGCTTTCACTTTCCGTGAGCGCAAGTGTTGTTAGTGGCAATGTTTTGACGAGTCAAAGACTCTGTGATGTTGGCTCCATACGGTCCCAAGGGCGCAAAAGCTAGCTGACAGCAGAGCTGTCGTTATTGTTCGTCGATTACTGCTTCTCCGAAGAACAACATCTGGTTTACAAATCGTAGCAACGTTTGTTTACTGTGTTGTATGTTGACACATTGACTACTGCAAGTGTCTTCTGAAATATTGCTAGAAATGAAATTTATGAGACTTCGCGTTCGCTTGATTTGAGGTTTCAATTCCCGCACGATTTTTTAACTATTTTTTAAACCATTTTTAACCATTTCTCATTCTTGGAGCCATTCTTTTGCTAGCGCTCTTTCCTGTACTTAGTTAGAATTGTTTTGCAGTCGGGGCAGCAACTCGGCGTCGGAGTTCTCGAGCGAAGTTTCAATCCTCTTGCTAAAGCTGCCCTCCCAATTTTCGAAGTCTTACGTGGGCTACGTGGGCCGATGGGGACTTATGTGCAGCATAATGTTGAATGTTTTCGCACCTAATTAGCATTGCCAGACACCACCGTTGGAGGCAGCCTTGGTCAAATGCGAGAAAAGTAAGGCCGTATAACCTATTTGACAAAGAATAGAATAATTTTCCAGTGACAATGAGTGTTGAGCGCTCGTTTGCTACGGAAAACAGCCCTCTTCAGGGCTCGGATGCCATCGAATCACTTTCGCAAGGACCGCGAGGTAGTTAGCTCCGTTCTTCTTGATATGAGTGGTTGGCACGCTGTAATTTTCCAGAGGCAATTGTTGGGAGTTCGCCAGGAGGCGCACTCACTGGAAATGTTGTGCCCAGTAGGATAATTAGGCAATTCCTTCCTTCATGTTCGACTACTTAGTACTCCTCTTCCAGTTTCGGTAGCTGCAGCACAACCATCAACTTCGAGGGGATCCCCGGATGAGTTGGAAGGTGGAGGGCGCGGCCCGTTCCCCCGTGGGGTTAACCCGCCAAGGCCTCATCGGCGGGTTAACCTCACGGGAGAACATTATCGTGGTTTTCCCGAAGCGAGCAAGAGGGGTACTCATCCCGTTGTGAGATACCCCATCCCCGGTAAGTCTACAAACATTCTGACTTCATGTTCGCTATGACTAAAAAGTTTTCTTAAGGAGGGCCGCTTTGTTACACCTTCGAACATCTGAGAACCACGTCGCAGGGCCAGGTCGTATACCGCTGCATCGGGTGTAAGAAGGAGGGACGAACAACTAGTGTAGCGGTACTGAGTTGGAACAAGATCAGATCTCCGAGGGCTTCACTACTGATATGATAGCTTAGGTTGCGAATGGATGTGAGCTCATCGGGGATCCCGCTTCGTTGCCGCACGTCTGCCAGCCCTTACGGAACGCTCAGGACAAAGTCCAGCGAATAGTGTATCAAGTGAAGTGATGTTTTGCCAGAGCCAAGCGACCATTCAGCGGGCATGAGCGAAATTCAGGAAAGGCAGGAAGTACCGGCCGACCCCAGGCTCGCGCACGTCAAGCCACGGCAGCTGTGGCAGAAGTTAGCCGAAAAAATCCATTATTGTCAGGATGCGGGTGAGTTGCTCTCAATGAACCCAACTTCATGACTTCAACTCTTCGTACTTAGATCGAAACGAGAGGGAGGAAATGCTGCACCACTTCTGTCGAGACGGGTATGAGTCGCGGAGGAGTACGATGTCTAGGTTCACTACTTGGCTTGCATCAATAGAGCTATGCAGCAGTGCGATTGTAGTTTCAGATGTAATCAGTGTCATCACTTCCAGGGCAATCGCCAAGTTGCACGATAGGCGCGTCTCGATGGAAGTGGTGCCGAGGGAATACGCCGAGTTACCCGATGGCACGCCTTTTCTACAATACCGCACCCAGGACCTTCACATCTACTATTCGCCCAGGATTGTGGAGGTAATGCCCAACATGTGTAGTATGTTTGAAGCGGCAACTTTCTTTGGAACCGGCTGTGAGGTCTTTTGGTCTGACGTGTGTTAGGTGAACTCATCCTGTCTGTTTCAGAAGGCGTGCCAGCTCGGTTTGTGCGCTCTGGTTGGAGATGGCGTCCACGATCTCCAACCGAGCGCCACAAATCAGACGGGCCAGCTCTACATAATCCACGGAGTGATGCCAAACTCCGTGGATTTCCGATTACTTTATGCCATATGTACAAGGTGTGAAATGTTTTTAAAACTATATAGATACTCAACGGTTTCGCAGACTCATTTCTTCAATTCAGGAAAACGGAGCGGGTTTACGACGTGATCTATGGAAAACTGAAGGATGCCATTAGAGAAGCTGGAGGATCGGAGCGACTGAGAATTCTGCTGGACTATGAGAAGGCCGCCATTACTGCGGCTAAGAGGTGCTTCCCAAGCGCATCGGTGCAGGGTTGCGCTTTCCATCTGGCACAGGCCTGGAATAGGAAAAGAGATGCGCTTGGGTTGCGCCAACAGGTAAAGGGACGCCTACGGTGTAGAGCCGTCCAAAAATGGTGGCACACCATCAAGGGGTTGGTATTTTTGCCGAGACCTCTACACCGTAGGGTCCCTGCGTTACATCGCCCACCAGTTCCCAGGGGACACCCGGCCTACGCTCAGTGCTCGGAGTTCCTTGGCTATTTGAAACAATATTGGTATCGTGGTTTTTTTAGGAATTTGTGGAACAAATGGAACGTCAAGGAGCTGCGCACCACCAACGTCGCGGAGGCATTCAACAGGTTCGCAATGCACGAGTATAGCTTACTCCCCTCAAGAGCACAACCGTTCTATTTCAGCCTACTGGCCGGATTGATGAATGGTAGCAAGTACCCTCGCATGAGTGACCTACTTGACGCTCTGCGAGGAGACGTCACCACCTCTTTAGGAGCTCTCATCAATAATGAAGTGGTTGGTAATGGGTATTCTACAGGTTTGGAGTCTAAACTTGTCTTATTTCTAGGAAAGCCCTGACTCCAAACGTCTCAAGAAGAAGGACATCATTCGCCGCCGACGGATAAGGAGGGCCATGCGCCAGTTCAAGGAATATGTAATAAGAAACAGGGCATTCCTTCATACGTCGGATATCACATTATATTGCCGAAGGATGTCACGATTTGTCACAGAAAAGACTATCTGAAAGGTACGATTAGCCTTCCATCAGAGTTCCGTGTCCACTTTATAATTATCTCTTTAGGATTATTGCCGCCATCGTTCAAGAAGGAGTTCGAGGGTGCGAATATAGCACGGGGGAGGGGGGGGGAAGACACCTATTCCCGACCCGATAGAGAGCGCTACCCCGCACCGATGCGCTTGGGGAGCACCTGCAGTAATGGCGTCCTTATTACCCGCAACCCTCAGTTGCTCCGATCCTCCAGCTTCTGTGATGGCATCTCTCAGTTTTTCATAGATCACGTCATAAACCCGTTCCGTTTCTTTCGGCATCATTTCCACCGAGACGCGCCTATCATCCCCCTCCGCGACTCATACCCGCCCCGACAGAAGGGGTGGCATTTCCTCCTTCTCGTTTCGATCTAAGTACGAAAAGTTAAAGTTATGAAGTTGGCTTCATCGAGAGCTATTAAAGTTATGAAGTTGGCTTAATTGAGAGCTACTCACCCGCATTCCGACAATAGGATGTTTTCGGCTAACTTCTGCCACAGCTGCCGTGGCTTGACGTGCGTGTGTGTGGGGTCGCAACCCAAGCTATCATATCAGTAGTGAAGCCCTCGGAGATCTGATCTTGTTCCAACTCAGTACCGCTACACTAGTTGTTCGTCCCTCCTTCTTACACCCGATGCAGCGGTATACGACCTGGCCCAGCGACGTGGTTCTCAGATGTTGCGAAGGTATAACAAAGCGGCCCTCCTTGAGAAATCTTTCTAGTCACAGCAAACATGAAGTTACCATGTTTATAGACTTACCGAGAATGGGGTATCTCACAACGGGATGGGTACCTCTCTGACTCGCTTCGAAAAACCACGATAATGTTCTCCCGTGAGGTTAACACGCCGATGAGGCCTTGGCGGGTTAACCTGACTAGAGAAAGACCACGCGATCCACCGTGAACTAAAAAAGGAAATACGTTGAGATCTCCATGCCATCCTCCTGATGAAAAACGGAACCGCTCCACCTTCCAACACATCTGGGGCTGCCCTCGAAGTGGCGAACTCCCGATAACTGCCTTTGGGACAATTACAGTGTGCCAACAAGGGAAAGTTCTCAAAACTGTGGGGATACTCTTGCAATAAAGCATAGCTGTCCCATCCGACGGCGGCGGATAATATCATGTTTCCTGAGACGTTTCCCTCAAGAAATTCCTCTGGATGAGACAAGGTTTAGATTCGTAAGTTCCCAGTGCACATGAAACCAACCACTTCCTTATTGGTGAGAGCTCTTAATGAGGTGGTGACGTCTCCTCGCAGATCGACAAGCAGGTCACTCATGTGAGAGTAAGCCATACTTATTATTGCAAACCTGTTGAATGCCTACGCGACGTTAATGATGCGCAGCTCCCTGACGTTCCATTTGTTCCACGAAGTCCTGAAAACCACGATACCAATATTGATTCGAATAGCCAAATAACTCCGAGCACTGCGGTTGGCCAAATCGGTTTTTATTGTCTTGCCTGAATCTGAGCGCTTAGCGGCTGCCGTTCAGCGCTCAGATTCAGGGAAGACAAGAACAAAACAACTCTCTTTGACGCGATGCTTCTTCCTTCCCACCTTTCCCTCCCACCCTCCCCCTCTTACACCTCCCTCTTCTTTGAACATATTGTCTACATTGCTTACGTCACGGAGAGAGTGCCTGTAGGGATAGCAAGAGAAGAAAGGAGAAAGATTTCGATGAGGTAGCTGATTTCGTTCTCTGTAATGTCCATAAACTTTTGCTCACTACTGCGATTGCAGGTGGCAGCGAAATGCAGCACAACAACATGAGGGAGATGGCAGCCGGAAGCTGAGGGTAAGTGCACTGCTGACTCTTGACTATTTTGTGTTTTTTAGGCCTATACAATCGCTTGGAGGAATCTTAGCGGGTTTTTTTTTCAACGCTCCTTCATCACTAATGGGCCAGTTACTTCAAATTTGTTCCTTTCTGAGCGCAACGGTCCCTACCCATCCAATCGCGGTATGCGTCTTCAAAGGCCTTCTTTGACAGAGTCGGACATGGTCCTCCTCTGCCATGAGTTGTGCAGGAGAGTAAAGCTTTGAATGATCCCTCAGATTCGTCACCACGGTGAATTCTTCCGTCCAGCTGAAGCCGTGGATCCCAGTGTCGAACGATATATAATGGATCGCGAGGTTGTCAAGGAGTGCATGAAAAATGTTATCAAAGACCTCAATGGCAATCTGTCGCATACGGTCCGCGTTCCCTTTTTCGCCATGCCGTCGGCTTACGCTCATTACAACCCCTTCATCTAGGTCGTTCTGCCAATTCCACAAAATATCCTTATCGCCCTTTTCGACGAACTACTTACGCTTGCTTGAAGGACATTGGATTCCAGGCACGTGACAGTTCTATCCAAATTCCTCGAAGGTTCGTCAACTGAGATAAATGATCTCCTGTAATTTCCAGGGTGCTCGAATCACTCGCCAACCGTCTTTGATCCTTTACGCATACAATGCGTCCACCGGTGTAGTTGTCAAATTTGGAGATCATCTCAACGCCATCGTACCAAACTCTACCCATACACAGGTATGAGAATTTTTAGGGCTAGGGCACTCGTTTGAGAATACACGAAAGTATTTTCTTGTTTACACTTCCTTCTGCCAGCAAAACTGGAGTTTTCTAAATTGGTTTCCTTTTACGGTTCACATCTCCGTAGAGTACAACGCAGCATAATTGGGAGCGCAAATAGTGGCGTCAGTGTTCACGTGCAGTGATAGTTGTATTTCACTCAAAAATCTGCCAGCTTTCCATCTCAGTCCTCTTGTTTCTAAAGGTCTCCTTGAGAGCTAAGCAAATTGTACCCGTCTGTTAGAGTTTCGATAGGTCATCGTGAAGATACACATACACCCATGATTTACGGGCAAATGATATGTGGTACAGTAGAAGGCTTCAGTCGCCCATTCGTAGCTTTTTAGCTTTGTTAGCAAGATTTTTTCCTTCATGTACTTCTTATTCAGTTGTGTCCAAGATATCCATGATTAATGTGATAGCTTATCAATGATGCTTAATCGATTTTTGTACATATATGTTTATCTGATTATGAACCATTTATGATGTTGCTGATTTGATCGCATTTTCATTATTGTGAAACATTTGAACATCTGTCCTCAGAGGGAGATACAGCTGGTAGTACCTGGATGGGGTAGCTACGAGAAAGTTGCCATACTTCTACGTCTACCCTCAAGGAATATATTATCAAGCATTGTATAGTGCCATTTCACTAGAGATGCAAAAGGAATGAATAGACGCAGACAAGTATACCACCTCTCAAAGAAAACACCCTTTGCCTGCGAGAGTCCATAGGGAGCCTTACCACAAGATCGAAAAAATAAATTAGCACACGAATGTTAGATACTAGAAATGGAGAACGAGGACCACGGTGTAAAGTTAACCTAGCATGGAAACCTAGCAGGGATCAAATCCTGCCTTAATTGCCGTCCAGTCGAGCCAAGCCACTCTCTTCGAGGTCGGTTAATTGGTACCAGACTTGTCTGGGAGGAAAAACACTGACTTGAACATCGGCTGGCCCCCGCAAGTCATTGTATAGGCCACATCGCATTCGAAATGCCACTACGAATCTGAATAGTCTTGAATGTAAGGCGCATACCGAAAATGAGTTGTTCAGTGCCGAATGCTTCCTTCTTTATTTCCTTTGACAATTTGCAGGAAATGTGTGCAGCACACTTCCTCATGACTACGGGTAGCATTTGTTACACTCAAACGACTCAAACCACACTACGGTACATATCAACTTTTCAGGAAAGTGTGTCAACATTCAAATGCTGACACGAAACATCGAGCAATCGCTGAAGATGTGTTTGACATGAGATCAGTTGAACGTGCACAAAAAGCAGGTGACCTCCACAAGACGTTGTTAACCAAACGGATCAATGGAATCTGATCGATATTGTTTACAATTATACTCCACCGTAATAAATAAATGTTCATCTGCATGCGCAGGTTCTGACGATACTACTATATTCAATACTTCTCAATACTTACTCTTTCTGCGAGGGGCAGTAACCATGGTTGTGTGGGAAAAATAGGCGCGGTCGCACCTTTCGAAACAATGACGGTGTTCGGTTATGCACTGCGTTGGTTGTACTCTCCATTAAAGAGGTCTGTTTTTTTGTATTTCAAGGGAGTTCGGAAAGAGAATCCCAATTGGTAGCGATAGTCCGTTTCTGTTAAATTCATGGCTCATCCTAGGGAAGCATCGCAAATGGTTACTTAGAAGCTTACTGGTTTCAACACCTACCGTATAATGATTAGCCAGTGGAACTGCGACGACATACTTTTTGCAAAATTGCTTGTGGGGCGAGTAAATTATGTGCCAACCAAGCTGGTATATGACGCTGACCGCTGATCTCATGCTCAGTATAATTCTGCTACATGAAGATATTATGAACACACCAAAAAACAAGAAGATGATGAAAAACAGCGCGACACGACGAAACCATATCAAACTTTATCCATACACTCACAAACATTGCGACACTCATATTTCTATAAACGGATAAACGTCACATTACAGCCAATCAAAAGCGAATGTAGAATGATTTGAGGCCAAAATACACGTCGATTTATTGACTGCCTACACCAACATCACATAATATGCGTATTTGGGTGCTGAATGGTGTGAAATACTTAAAGACTACCGTCAACATGTACATTTTGGGACTATCAACGGGTGAGTGCTTGAATGGTATGAGGTACATTTTGTTCGCTTACAATCGCACAACATCACTTGCCCCCACAAGTTATAGCGCTTCTAGCGAACAAATGATCATGGAAGGACAGTGAGAAAAAAGGTTGGGGGGAATAGCAAGTGCCAGCCTGGCCCTCTTTTCCAGCACATCACACTCTAGGCCTTTACGCCTTGCTCGCTTCTGAATCCGCTGATCATGCCGTAACGCACGTGCTCGCTACATTTTGGAATAATCTGAAGAAGTGACAGCCTTGGTAGAGACAATCGCTTCAACGAAAGTACGAAATAAAGACGGGACTTACCGCTCAATTTCAGGAGCGCACCGGGTGAACTTGTACTTCCAGAAGTTGTAAACGGGATTTTTGAATTCAATGAACGCGATGAGTAAACCCCACGGATGTGGACGCAATGCCAATCGTTCGAAGAGTATGCGTGTGATTTGCTGAACAAGCAAATATTTCATGATGTAGTCTCAAGGGTAATGCTGCGCTCGTATGGTAGCCCTGCCTGGGTTCCGTGCGAATCAGAAGTGTTCAAAAAAAAACAACTCTAACGTATGTCTGCATTCTCTCCAGGAGTTCGGCCATGGTGAGAAATGCAAACAAAAAGAAGGCCTAGCGCGCAAAACTTCTTGATGACCATCTCCAAACATCTTTTGAACCCTCCAGTTCTTTTTTTTCATACGAACGGGGAAGGAAATAGTAAACGGTGAAACCACTTCATGAATAAATGTGATATCATTGTATTGAGTCATTCTTCCCATACCCTCACATAATTTCCTCTGCAGTTCGAAAAAAAAACACTAGCCAAAACGGCAAAAACGCTCGAGTTCACCCCTACATACCCACTTTAACCTACACTTCGCATGCGTGACTTTCATCAAGACTGATACATAATCTCATAATCTCATACAACATACCTGAATCGCGACGTGATCCGAGTTCAAGAACAAAAACAGAAACACGCAGCTGAAGTGAGTATGTGCATTCGGGTAACGCAATTGATTCGCGATCGCGTTGAGCAACAGATATCGGCCTAAACAGTTTCATTCATACGGCATCAACTCAATAAAAAATCTAATGAAAAGTGCGCTTTTTGAATAAAGAAGTGCAGATCTTCTCCCACTTTCCAACTTTTGAACAATAGACATGATCAGCGGCGCAAAACGTACTACCAGTGCTCGCTTGCCAAGATAATTTGCGCGATATTACCATTTCGAAATTGCAAAATTGCAACTTTGTAGCGTCAGATCGCGCGCAACGGTGTCCTGATGAAACGATACACAAACGGTCAAAACAACACCACTGCAAAGAACAATGCTATACAATTACCTGAAGTTGAAACAATATATTATTCCACGAGCGCCGTCTCCTCCGCCCTTGCGTACCTGAAATTTTGATTAAACACATTGAAATTGATTAGTGGTGATCCCTCGAGATCGCACGAGGCGTCAGCAATGAAGCGGGCCTCCTAGAAATAAAAGAAAATAAAAGCTAAAGTTGATGAAGGGCCAAAAGGGTTAATGTGGACCGCAGCAAATCTGTCGCTCCAATCGACAAAGTCTATTGTTGCCGCGCCCATCGAAAAAGTGCCGCATTACGGCGCCGCGCAAGTAACCGCGCGCGACGGCGCCAATCCCGGACGATTCTAATGCACGCTCCCCTGCCGTTGCGGACTGCGCAACGCAGGGTTGACTCTGTGCCCAACCCGGCAATAGGGGAAGGCTGAAAACGGTGAAAAACCAAAGTTTCAACTGGGGGAAGTAATGCATATCATTCGATAGCATTTTTCACGGGGAAGCTAACGGGGCACATTTCAGGTCTGCGAGTTCACCTGGGATATTGAGAGCAGAGGGAAACACGTAAAGCCAGTAAGCGCTTAAAAACGAAATGAAGATCTAAGAATTCGGAAAATAACATTCATCTAATCTCACAATGTAGTGGATGAGATTGAGTACGTGGCGCATTCTGGGGTAAGTTTTGAGGCCCTTCTTTGTGTGTAGCGGTTAGCCCGGGATTATATGTGTACACATCACATGCGAGCAACTACTTTTTGAGATGAAAATCGAGTGCAATCCTATATGGAGCTTTTCCAAAGTATCA